TTGTCAAAAACAAAACAAAACTGTCGTGCGTCGGCCATTCAACCACGGGAAAAAGAAAATTAGACTGATCTGCCTGGTGGATCTTTCCGCAACCGGGTTGACACGTAAAGCGGCGGAGGTACGAAAGCAGACCAGGCTGAGGTGAAGAAGTCACGGACATTGTAGTTCAGATGGATGTCGTCAAGGAGACTATTTGCTCAGAAAACGGCGAGGATAGTTCAAGTCCAAGCGGTATATGTGTCTTCATGAGAGGAGGAGAATCCCAATGCTGCGAAGAAACAAGAATATGAGAGGAGAATCACAGGCGTTGTGTCAAATGGACGCACGATCCCAGTGCTAATGAACAATTTTAAAAGACAAAAGAGAATAAGACAAAGGAGAAGAGCAGATGCGCACGGTTTCTATTTCAAGAGGCCAAAGAAAAGGATAGTCAGTTCGGCCGCGGCCTTCTAGAATTCGGACTGCCAACCCTAAAGAGATCTACGGAAATCTACACCCTTTGAAGGTAAATGAACCCCTTGTGTTACATAATCCGCTATTATGTATAACTTGTAAAAATCAGTGTAATTCAGCTTGGTCGACTTTGTAAACTGGCTGCAAGGCTGATTTTATTAATAAAACTTGAACTTGAATAAATACGCATCTTATTATTAGATTTTGAGCAACATAGCACTACGTACAGTGGTAGATTAGACTATTCTTTACCTATTTGCAATATCGTCTCGTTTTAAACAGTTTATATTCACTCATTCTTCCAGTAGGTACTGTGGACAGTGGTGGATTTATCTGAAGAATGGCCCGAAGTGAAGACCTACCGTTAACGTTAGGCCTTGCCCTACGGCCTGGCTCCAAAGACTGGACATGCCAGTGGGATGCCTGTGGCCTGAGACGTGCGTGTTGTTACAAGTATGTGGACAGCATTTTACTATGTAGTTCGTTGAGCGACTTTAGGTACCTAAGGATTGAAGGCTACATGGATTTTGCGATCTGCGTCTTGCCTACCGACAACGCCCCCTACCAAATTACACACACAATGCAGGCGGCTTGAACGGCATCCAGCAATTCAATTTTCTTCCAGATGCGTGATTAAAGGTTGTTACCATGTAATCACTCTTCATTTGCCATTTAACATTAACCTTTCCCTAAACGTATAGCATTAAAAGGGGCAAAGTCAGTGGGAGGGTTACCAGACAAAGTCACAAATATGACCCATTGCCAGCACGTACTATAAAACGCTACCAAAATAGCCCTCTACCGTATATTGTTAACCTGTTAAACGATGGCATTTAGTTTAGATTCGTGGCATTTAGATTATTAATTGGTATCTTTGATAATTAATTTGTATCTTTTAAATATGAAATTGTACCTTTTTATATATGCATTGCGTCTTTTAAATATGTATTCCATCTTTTAAATATGTATTGTCACCTGTTCGCAGTTTGTAAACTTTTAGAGCGATTGTTTATGTCAACCTGTGAAATTTGTATATGTACATGAACTCGCAATTCAGCTCATAAGCTGCGATGAGTTTGTATTCGCACAATAAACCATTCATATTCGCACAATAAACCATTCATATTACTGTTTTCACATAAATGGTCTGCCAGCTACACAAGTAACAAGAGTAACAGACTTTATTCAACTTCATACAAAATTATACATTCTCTAAATTGGCTACAAAACTACACACTCAGACTAACTACAAAAGTACAATACGTTGAGAAACCTTTCATATACAGGTAGGATATGTCTACAACATGTGTGTGTAAAGATGTATAATGTATAGACTGGACAATCTATTTGCTGTGACAAGAGAAATTTCAACTTTTATAGCAGCTAGTATATATAGAACAGCCTCCAGTTTAATTCTGGACTTCCAGTTTAATTCCGGACAACCTCCCATATCTCAGCAACCTTAAACCCAGATGGGCTAATATCGCAAACCATAGGTATAAATGATGTAAGAAATATGTAGCAGCTATTCGCTGACCCCTGGGGGTTCGTCCAATTATTTTATGTATTATAACATTGAACATTATGCATAATTATGCATAACCCCTCAAAGCATCATGCATAATTATGCATAATTGGACAAACCCCCAGGGGGTCGCAAATAGCTGCTACATATTTCTTACATCATTTTTACCTATG